TGGGTATTCTGCGTGTTTTGTGGGTTGCAAAGTTGTTGCAGTTGAGCCCTAAAAGCTTCCATAATTTTTCCAGACAGTTTGATGGTCTATTGATCTGGCTTTCATTGCTACAAAACCTGTTTTTCCCACTCATAGTATTTATTATAAATGAATTATGTGTAAAGTGGATCTTAAGTTTATTTCCAAAGAACTGCTCTGACCTTCTTCGGAACATCTAACATGAGTGTGATATGGAAACGACTACTGGAGTTTCCAAAGAAGTGGGCTGAGATGTTAGAACAAGCTGTGCTGAACTCCAAAGGGTACTCCTTGGTTGGAAGCATGATACCACGTCACCATAGGGGATTGCAGTCAGCCTGTGTGGTTATCTGTAGCCAGGAGTCTAGAGCAGAGACAGGGCTGGACAGTCAGATTCTTAAATGCTTTGTTTGTGTCCATAAAGAAGGACTATTTTGCCAGTGTGTGGGCTACTCAGCCACACTCCAGTCTGCTTTGTGTGATTAGGAACTACTCATTAACTTCCTAGGTGATAAGAATTTTGACCCCTTGGTGGTTGAAGACCTTTTGTAGGTCTGCTGTTTTCATACCTGTGTGTTAAAAAGGTATTTTTTGTTGTTGTTATGAAGAATTTTGGACTTTTTTTGCAGATTTTTTTATTTGAATCGGAAACAAGATTGTTTTACATGACAATCCCTGTTCCCTCTCCCTCCAGTCCTTCCCTACCACCCCCCCCCCACTAAAACCCTACCTATCACATATCCTTTCTGCTCCCCCTGGATGATGAGGCCTTCCATAGGGTGTCATCAGAGTCTATCATATCCTTTATGATAGGGCCTAGGCCCACCCCTGTGTGTCTTGGCTCAGGGAATAAAAAAGTTACTTTTTTTTAAAAAAAAGTTTTTAGTGTACAAACTAATGAATGGTGTCACATTATCTTTTCATATATCTATGCAATTGGCCTTTGTATTCAGCCTCCTACCTTCCTCTGTCTTTCTTCTCTCCTTGCTAGTCTCTTCCCATCCCCTAATAATCTCCCTTTGTATTTCATGTCACGATCTCACATATATGTGTATGTATCCTTGTCTGTGAAATCTATATTGTGCATATGACAGAAGAAACTGCAGTGGTTTGTCTTCCTCCTATTATATTCTCTTAGTCCCTCTCTCCCTCCATTTAGACCACATCCTCTTTATGTTTTCATTGTATTTTTATATATGTATGCCCATGTATATAAAATTTATCTCAAGATTGTGTTTATGAGATGGGAGGGGAAAACATGATATTTGTATTCAGAGTCTTATTTCATCTAGCAAGATGATCTTTAGTTCTATACAGCTTTCTTATAAGTGACATTATAATATATATATTTTAATATAGTCATGCCGAGTGGTAGAAATTTTGGAAAATTCCACACCGCTTAAAGTAACCATGTTGTTGATATCTAAGAATATGTACTCTACTTTGACTTATGTATACATTTATTTTGGTTCCCACAATGTCTTGGTCCTAACTTTCTTGCTTTTTCCCTTTCGAGCTGCCTTCTCACACAGGTGAGAATGGAAGGTGATGGAGGTTAATAGACCGCTAGAGATCAGTTTCCATGTCATATATTTTCCCCAGTTAAGAAACTCTTAAGTAGAGGTTGAAAGGAAAATGTTGACACAGCCCTCTTACTAATTGAGGATATTGAGCTATGCCTGCCACCTCCCGTCTTGGAATAATCTGTGGCAGAAACAATTAAGCTCACGGGTGCTTTTGACTTGAAGGATAAGACATGTATCATGGGTAGAAAGTGTTTATTAGAAGTCTGTGCCTTTTGTGTGGTCTTTTCAAGTTCTTATCTTTATCCATCCATTATTGCTTGAAATAATTCCCCTGGATTGTATAAAGGAATAATGAGTATTAGACAAACTTTCAAACTGTGTCCAGCAGCCTTCACTTGGAGAGAAAATGGCTTTACACTCTCCTTAATCCTCCAAACACTTCCCTCCCCCTCACCATCAGCTCACTTTTGGTTCACTGCAGAAATACGAGTCCTTAAAAGCCCTCATCACCACCTAGCAAGTCTCTCAATTCACCCACGTTCAAACCCATCCAGTCTGCTTTTTTGGTAGGATTGTAAGCTCTGCTCCTGTGTACAGTTGACTCCTCTATCTGTGATGCGGATACCACCCCTGCTCGGTAGTTCCAGGATGTTTGGTTTGCAGTTATTTTTGTAGTTATTCTCTACCGTTCCTATAGCAGCAATCTGCCTCCATTAGCGCATTCTGTTCACTTTCTAAAGGACTGCCATATCCACACTTTTAAACTTTTTTTTTCCCATTTTGCACTCTCTTCCACCATTGCTCATCTTTTCTCTGTAGCAATACTTTTTAACGTAACAGTCAATGTTCCCAGTCCTCACTCCCTGATTCATTGCAGTTGGCTCTCTGATGTCCTCTGTACCTACTCTTACTGCAATTTTCCAGCATGGCTGTTGTGCCAGGTTCTTTGATCCCCTCTTATGTGTCATCCTTTGGAACCCCCACTAGCTTAGGAGGCAGCTGCTAACCTGGTCATCATTTCAGCCTTCCTCTCTGGCTGTTAGTAAAGCCCTAGTTTTCCTCTTCTTTACTGCTCTTCTCCATTGTCTTCAACAATGCGTTCTATCTCTCTAAAGGATGGAGAGGCCCAGGGCCTGAGTCTTGCTGCTTTTCTCAGTCTATGCTTGTACTTGGGGTTGTGTTATTCTGTTCTATGGACTTCAATACTGGTGCCTTCCAAGTCATGTTCAAATTATATAGGAGACATCTTCCTACCTTCTTAAAACCTTGTGCATGGCCTTCAGTGACCCATGACATGGTCCGCATAGTACATGCAGCTTCAGTTTCTCTTCTCATCCGTGCTTCTTAGCTTCCCACACTTGACTTCTTCTTTTTTTTTAATTTAAATTCTTTAATTACTACTCATATTTACATATCCATCCCCCCATTCCCTTTTTTTTTCTTCTTTTTAACTTGTATCCTGCCACTTTGCTGAAGGTGTTTATCAGCTGTAGGAGTTCCCTGATAGAGTTTTTTAAAATTTAAATTATTTAATTACTACTCATATTTACATATCCATCCCCCCATTCCCTCCCCCTTCCCATCCTCCCATGTTCCCCACCAACCCGCCCCAACCATCCCCAAAATCCTCCCCAGGGATAGTGAGGCCCTCCACCAGGGACCTTCAAAGTCTGTTATATCGTTTGGGGGAGGGCCTAGGCCGTCCTGCTGTATCTGGGCTGCAATAGTATCCCTCCATAGGGAAATGGACTCCCAAGTGCATTTGTGCTCCAGGGTTAAAGACTGGCTTCACTGTTAGAGGTCCCATAGACTATCTTGGCCTCCTATCTGGCACCCACACTCAGAGGGCTTGGGTCCGTCCAATGCTGGTTCCCCAGCTTTATGACTAGGGTCTCCAGGCTTTCACTAGGTCAGGTCAACTGTTTCTTCGGGTTTCTGCAGCACTGTCTTGGCTTCTTTGCTCATCCCTTCTCCCTCTCCACAATTGGATTCCAGGGATATGGTTCAATGCTTAGCAGTGGGTGCCTGCTTCTGCTTCGAACAGCTACTGGATGAAGGCTCTAGGAATGGTTACCAAGGAAGACGCCAATCTCATTATAGGGGAAGGGTATCAATGGCATTTTCTCCACCACTGCTTGGATTCTTAGTTGGGGTCATCCCTGTGGATATCCTAGCATTTCCCCTGTGCCAGACCTCTCTAAAAACCTGTACTATCTCCCTCTATCAAGGTATCTCCTTTCTTGCCCTCCTCTATTCCTCCCCTGTCTCAGGCCTCTTGTTCTCCTCCCCCTCCCCTTTTTCCCTTCCCACCTCCTTCCTATCTACCCATGCCCCATGATCCCACTTTATTCAGGGGTTCTTGTCCCACTCCCCTTCTTCGAGGGACTATGCAATCTTCTCTTGGGGTCCTCCTTGTTTCCTAGCTCATCTGGCAGTGTGGATTGTAGACTGGTAATCCTTTGCTCTATGTCTAAAAATCATATATGAGTGAGTACATACCATGTTTATCTTTTTGTGACTGGGTTACCTCACTCAGGATGGTTTCTTCTAGTTGCATCCATTTGACTGCAAATTTCAAGATTCCATTTTTTTTTCCGCTGTGTAGTACTCCATTGTGTAAATGTACCACATTTTCTCTATCCATTCTTCATTTGAGGGGCATCTTGGTTGCTTCCATGTTCTGGCTATTACAAGCAATGCTGCTATGAACATAGTTGAACATATGTCTTTATTATATGAATGTGTATTCTTTGGATATATGCCCAAGAGAGGAATTGCTGGATCTTGAGGTATACTTGATTCCCATTTTTCTGAGAAACTACCATACTGATTTCCAAAGTGGTTATATAAGTTTGCACATTTGACTTCCTACTACTCCTTTAGCCACCAACCTCCTTCCTGCCTGAAGGCCTTTCATTTTCCTTTTCCTTGCATGGTGTTTCAGAAGGTCTTTGCACATGGCTTGTACCCTTTCTCCATTGCCAAATTAATTTTTTCAGAAGCCTTCCTTGACAGCTCTGACTTTCTTATCTGTCTCATTTTCCTTCTCACTACTTCTCATTACTTTATATCATATTATATGCCCCCTATGGTTATATGAATCTAATAAGGGATATGGAATGAGACTTTCCTGCTAGCCCTCTGGCTTAGATCATTGTCTGTAAAATCTCAATAGTGCATTGAATGAGTGAATAAATCAATTAATGGAGATATGTTGCATATATATGAGTGTGTGTATAATATATATTCCATGTTATTACATCTTTAGTATTTTTTGAAGGGACAGATAAATGTTTACTATAATATAATGGTTAATCATAATATAAAAATGTCTGGCCATGGACTGCTGTGTAAAGACCCATTTGAAGGGATTTCCTATGAGGAATGTATATGGTATGTTTTCTTACTCTTTTCTCTCTTGAAATAAATTGTACTTTCTTGGCCCTTCCCATTCAGCTGAAGAATAAATTTATGAAGAAACTGCCACGTGATGCAGAAGCTTCCAATGTGCTCGTTGGGGAGGTTGACTTCTTGGATACTCCCTTCATTGCCTTTGTTCGGCTACAGCAGGCTGTCATGCTGGGTGCTCTGACTGAGGTCCCTGTGCCCACCAGGTAAGCGGTTTGCCCACCTGCTAGGGCTCATAGGGTGCTTATGAGAAAGTGCTCTCCCTCTTAGGTCAGTGAATCAGTGGAGTGAGAATACACTCTGCATTGGGGAGGTTTCACTTGAAATAGTGCCTAAGTGACATTTGGGTTCTCAAGTTACATGTTCCTGGAGTAGTAATGGTAAGGCAGTTATAGTAACTGATTGGCCCATGTGCTAGTTTCTTCTTGTGGCTCATTCTTTTAGTATGCAAACTATAGTATCCATATTTAACAAATGGAGACAGTGAGTTTAAATACCTTGCCCATATCGGTACAACTAGTAAATAGTTCTGAGGTCATAGATACTTTCATTTCCTCTGTCTTATCAGAAAGTTGTTACTGGTCTCACACATAGACGAGCCAACTCATAGATGCATATACAAATGTAAATATGCATCTTTGTAAAACTTGTCATCTCTCTAAGCACTTAAATTTGTGCACTTTACATCAAGCATGCCATTTTGCATTCAAAGGAATCATACTTAGGCTACAATCACATGTCACTCTACTGCTCTGTACTCTAGAAGTCATCCTGTTGTCGTCTGTGAAGCTGTGCTTAGTGGTTCAGATGCTTGATGGAAGCACACGATGAGGGGAAGAGAAGCTAATGCCTCACTTAGACTTGTGCTAAGAAAGACCTTAAAGAGGAATTTGTAGCTTCAGGTTGACATCTGGAAATTACTGCCTGATTGGGGGAGGAGTGTGCTTCCTGTGGGTCTCGGGCAGAGGGAGGTGACTTCTTTTTGAGCATCTACATGTGAACAGGAAGGGCTGTGGCTCCCCCTCAGTGGAGTCAGATGGTCTGAGCATGGTTAATCAACAGTGACGAGAGGTTCAAGGTTTGTTCTGAGCCAGGTTAGGAAGAAAATGAGAAGCCAATGTCCCGAAGCCCTTTCAGTTCAGCCATTCTTCCTGATGACAAGGATGAGTCCTCCCACCCATCGTTTTTAAATACCTGGGGCAGACATTGGCTGCATAACATTGGAAAGGAGGCGATCGCAGCTGTGCAATTAATGGGATTATTGTGATTGGTGTTTTCTGTTCCAGCGGAGCCTTGCAGTTCTGTCTGAGCAATCACCTGGCAAGCCGCTGACTCAGGATGGCTGGAGTCCAGCCTTGTGCCCCGATGGCTTTCTGTATGTCTCGGCACTAACTTTTCTGGAGATGGAAAGAGAAGACATGCTGAGAAATGTTAAAGAAAATTGCTCTTGCCTTTTCATTTTTATTACCTTTTTTTTCCTTTAGAAGCTACAAATAAAAAAAAAACATTTTAAAGGCCTTTTGTTTACCAGTGATCCACATACACAAAGTTTGAAACCATGGCCTTTTGTGTATCTCTTATCATCTCCCCCTGTCTGCCTCATTCTTTAGTTCATTCTCCTCTGTACCAGAGGGAGGTATTAATTTAAAGTTGAAATATGGCATCATCTGAAGAGCAAGGGGAGCGAAGCCATCTATTTAAGACAAGTGAAGGGGTGTAATTCAATATCATAAAGCTATTTCTGGGCTGTAATCTGAAAAATATACCCTCAGATATTAATATTTCCCAGGAAATACTTTATGTGTTTGCTGTCTTCGGAAGCACAGTAAACTGTAATCACCCAGTTGAGAGGCTCCTTAGCTGGGTTTGTTGTTGTTGTTGTTGGTGTGTGTGTCTGTGTGTGTGTACAAGAAGATATTTACAGTGGCTGCATCCTGTGAAATCCAATATGGTAAATTCAATGAGGAACATGCAGTGGTTGTGCACATGCGGCCTGTGCTCCTTGGTGGGCTTTACCTTGCACACTGTTCTGTTGCTCTGCGGGCACAGTTGAAAAGTCTTTCATTGCACATGTCTTTTCACGTTTATGTGTTTCCTAAAATGTAGAGAAGAATTATGCTGTGAATGTTATTATTGCTCTTCTGGGAAACAGCATTACTATTCTGGGCCTTTTCAGAAGTCTGGCTCTCGGGTCCCCTTCCTAGCTAAGCTCACAGGGTCCTTTATCCTTCATTTCTTGTGGTCCATTACAGCCTCTATTTGCAGTGCTGTGGTTGGGGATATCTGACTGGCTCTGTGTGTGTGTGTGTGTGTGTGTGTGTGTGTGTGTGTGTGTGTGTGGGG